ATGCCCGCCTAGGCCAACCAAGCCTTCCATCCCTCCGGGGTCAGCGAACTGATACCAGACTCACGAAAAGTAAGAGAGCCCGGCGTCAGCCGGGCGATCCGACTGGTAGATCGTGTAAAATAAAACAAAAATAAATTGAAATATATGTAAGACGTTATGTTATGTTTATGTACGAAGTTGATTGCATAGTTTACAAAGTGGAATTCACGAATATGAAACTGACTACAATATCTACAAAACAGAATCGGAAAACTTCGAAATTGCTAGCAGTGTGCATGAATATGACTCAATGTTTACAAATTGGAGCTTAAAATCATCTGAATATAAATCCAGCAATTATCTAGGCTAATCAAGCACCCCCTATCTTGATTGGAAATCAGTGGGAACGCGAAGACATGGATTCGTGAAATTGTGGTAACCCAGTTGGAAACATGGAGGCGTGAAATTGTGGGTCTTGGAATTACGGAATCGAGTAATCATGGAAACAAGGGGGAGTAAGTTTCGTTTTAACGTGGGACGAATATCCTTTATTAATCTTCGATTGCGCGTTTCTTCGACTGCATGGTTCACGAATTCGATAAATATTCAATACTGAGGACGATTCCTAGATTCTATCCTTTAAACTGAATTTATACCGGCGCTTCGATACAACAGTGCCGTAAAGTGCAGTTGCCGTAGTCACTTTTGTATCGTAGTGCTGGTATAAAAAACTTAATGAGGTTTGAAGTACTCGTTTTTTATACTCGATGTATCGAAAATCGATTCAGATACGGTAATCGAGAGACCTGCGCTGCCAGTTTAAAAATGGGCGATGTCGTTGAACGACATCTGGATGATGGTGATATTGTATTGTTTAATCGGCAACCATCCCTTCACAAAGTGTCCATTATGAGTCATCGGGCACGAATCATCTCCGGCAGAACATTTAGGTTTCTTCATTCGTTTACAGTATAATCGTCTCAGGCGTAAGCGTTTTGAAGGCTGATTGTGGCATTTATTATTTTTTCTTACTTTATTGCCCCTGTTCGCATTCCTCTCCCCTAGGTTCAACGAGTGCGCATGCACGCCATATAACGCAGATTTCGATGGTGACGAGATGAATCTGCACGTGCCGCAAACTCACGAAGCTAGAGCAGAAGCTTGTCTCTTGATGGGAGTGGAGAGCAATCTGATCACTCCCAGATCCGGCGAGCCATTGATTGCTGCGATTCAGGTGAGATGCTTTTAATTTCAATCCTTCTAGTACAGGTACGGGGTAACATTGCGTTCGTCATGTTTATTCTCTAAATAAACGTAGCAGTATAGAACGGTATGGAATACACATACGCCTGCATTTAAATTAATTTTTTCTTAGGTCCATTAGCCTCGATGACATTCTGTGCTAAAATCCATGCGTGTCATGGCGGTGTCATTAGGGATTCTCGCTCCTTTTCATATGATAAAAATAACCATTTGGGCACCGCACACTGACGCGTGCGTAACAACGCAGAACGCATCGGCATACATTATTTTTTGCTCAGAGCTTAGCCTTGGAGAATCTGCTGATAGGCTGGTGGGTTATGATTTAAGGCAAGGAGTTCGAGGACGCCTAGCTCGCTGTGGATTAGTCTCCGTCTTATTCATTCCCATATTCCTGACTTACCCGATTTTTCTCGATGTCAGGACTTTTTGGAGCAAGATTATGAATATACCCAAGGCTCCAACCATCTCAAACTTGAGGTACCCTTCAGGTAATACCGAATTTCGGAACGGATAGACTAAGAGAATCGAATCATTTGCAATTATAAGTGATGATGATAATTTCACAGAGACTAAGTAATAATGATCTAATGCATAGGACGGTTTTGGGACCTTAAGGACGTCTGTAAACAGATTCGTGAATTTTTTGGTCTTAGCTCCGTCACCTCAATGTGACCGTCCACTTCTAGTTCTTGACCACCTCCTTCCAACAGCAATATGCACTTGTTTTCGGATTCTAGAACTTCGAACGAGCTCATGGGTGTTTGATGAAAGCTTCGCCCACACTAGTGCAGACCACCCCTATCAATTTTGAGCACCCTTCGTTTAGCTGCCCCTAACCATTTCTGCATTCCTGAACTCGTTTTTGGGAAAAATTGTGAATATTTAATCTTGGCTCGCCCACCCCATGACAAACTCCGCCTTCTCCGAGTATTTGGGTCCATCGTTTCTATAATATCTAACCACCTCTTTCCCGCCTTCTAGGATGTCCCCTCTATAACATTTCACTACCTCATTAAACAGAGCCATTAACTTCAGGCCTAGACCCGCCTACTTAGTACAAGTTCCGCCACTAGGGCTCTAACCATCTTTCGCCACATTTCTGAAACGTTTCTTAACAGAGGGGTGAATCAGTTTCGGTCCAAATTTACTTACTTCGCCCATCCATCCACTCGCCAGTGGGGTGACCTCGCTTAATTGGTTGGCTGCTGACCTTTCTGCCAGGCTACCCGGCTCAGGTGTAGCAATATCCATTTTGCGAGTGAGAAACTTCGCCACATTTGAAGCATAAGAAATAAAATGAAGCAAAACAAAAAGAAATGCTACTTATAAGTAATGCAACACAGAAAGCTTAAGAAACTAAAGTGGCGCAAGAACCATAGGAAGGGGGAATGAATTTATTGCATTGAGACCAGTGCATTGAGAACATACCAGTTAACAGAGGGTATCCTTTCACACTCTTTTCAGATACCTTGTATCGCTTCCTTAGTGGTCACTTGAAGGTATTTAAACATGTAGGTGGGAGCAATATAAATCTTCCTGTACTGTGCTTTTCATCCGATTAGCACAATGCCCTATTGGAAGCACTGTGAATTCGAACACAGCGCTCCCTGCGGCTCTAAACCAAAGTTAGTTGATCCTGTTGCTCCTTCTTATTCCCTCGGACTCCAGTATTTAGCTGGCCCACCGGATACTCTGTACCACCACTATTTTATGCACCTTCATCCCATCCACAACTTACACATCCCCTCTCTGTATCTTCGAGTACTGTAACTCCAAACCCCTTCCATTTATCGTCAGAACCTGGCACACTGCGAGTTTTGTATACCGAAACTGTTGCTTCCAGACACCCTATACGCAGCTACAGCTGCCTCAAATCTGGAGCGCACCCAAGCGCAAACGTATTTTGGCGAAAATCAGGCAAGCAAGAGGGGAAAAAATCACATTTCAATTCAGCATATTCAATAGTGCATAGCATAATAGAGCAAAAATAGAGTAATAATAGAGCAAAGCTGCAAAAATATGTCTAAATATGTCGCTACACAGTTTTCATATGACGTGTTAATCTTGAATTTATAATTGTCTTGTCCTTACTACATATGAGCTTATTTCAAAATGTGTGGTAATAATATTGATAATAATAATAAAAGTAATAATGATAATAGCGATAAAGTTTCCGATTCATGTAATCGATATCAGTACACTGAGTCTGCGAGAAAGGTCGCCAGTCAACCATCAAGGGAGGTCACCCCACAGGCGAGTGGGTGGATGGGCGAGGAAGGTGCGGAAGGAGACCTTCCTTGATGGTTGACTGGTGACCTTTCTCGCAGTCTCAGTGTACTGATATCGATTAGAGAAGTAGATTTGGACCTAAATACCGACTCCCCTGACCAGAGTTATGGGTTTTTGGGGCTAGCCCCGCTCACGTGGCGCAAGCCCCCCGCCTCTCCCCCTCTCCCCCCATAATAGTCTCTAACATTTTTTTCCCGCGCTCTAGAACATTCTTGACATATTTATTAATTTCCGATCTTTGCCCCGCTCACCTTGGCGCGAAACTCGCCCACTTCGAAAAACCACATTTCTTGTACTGCTTATACTGCATTTTCTCTATGCTAGTACGTTATTGAACCAATGTATGAATTAGTATTGAACCGAGGTGTAAAGTTCGACGTCAGCCAGTCTATGCAGACCCCGCCCATTTTGGGACTTTTGTCCCTCTTCCTCTTATAGTCTCACCACTTTTCCCGCACCCTAAAACGTTACTGAACGGGTTTATATTTATTTTTAGAAAGTAGTTTCCATTTCGATTTCGCTTCACGCCCCGAACACTTGGGCGGAGCTTCGATACGTTTACGAGTGCCCAGCACGTATGAGCCCTTGCTCACTCGTTTTATTTTTTTTTCTGGCTTCCACGCCTCCACTGAATCTGATTATGATTTTATGTGGTATGTGCCGCCTACTGAGAGAGCGCTCCGCCCACCACCGGTGAGTCTGTTTTGTGGATTTGTCGACCCATCACTCACCTTTTTCATTTCTTCCGGCGTCTGGACTGTTAACCGGACCATGCCCCTCCTCCTGGGGCGGAGCTCCGCTAGACCCACATGTGTTCTGTTGCACTTACTCTGTGCTCAACCCATTCCAAACTTGACTCAACTTCTCCAGGTGTTGAGAAACATAGGTTATATCGCATTCCGTGACAGACAGACAGACAGACGCGAGCGTTTTATATATGGTAAAGATAGGGGGTTAAACAGAACGCTTAGATATAACAAGCAACTTCTCTTATGATTCCTAGGTTTTGGAAAAGATGTACTCACAAACAAAGGAAAGTATCATCTCTTTACCTTTGTCGATTCTCTTCCCGTCACCTTTTCCAATATAACCTAAATATTTTCAGGATTTCATGACGGGCGCTTTCATAGTAACCCATAAGGACACTTTCTTCACATTTAGCGAGGTATTTTCTATTTCGCGTTCCTGGTTAGAGAAAGAGCGCAGATTGTTTTCGTAAGGATTCTTCGAAGTTCTTGAATTCTATTCGTACCTGTTGGGCACCGCACACTAACGCGTGCATCACATCAAAGAACGCATCAAACAAAGATGATTTTTGATCTGAGCGCTTCACTCCAGAGAATCCAGCATTAGGCTGTGGTGGGTTATGAGTTTTCCGAAAAGTCCGAACTCCGTTTACCGTGCATGAGTCTACTTTGTCCGATTTATTGACCTGTTGCTAGCCTTTGCTCATTTTTCACTGTGTGTGGGCTTTTTGAAGCAAAATTATGGAGTTTGTCTCGTTACACCGCCCATTCCGGTGAATGTAAGCTCGCTCTGGGTGCTCTTGAGCTCGTATGTGCCCTGACGATCTTGCACGATGTTTCAAACATTCCTCAGGTGATACCGAATTTCGGAGCTGGTAAACAGCTATAAACTAATTTTTTATATATAGTTAGTGGTGACCGATGACTTCATAATTAATGACTAATTATGATGACTTTATGGGTACGATATTAGCATTGTAAAGACATCTTTGTACAGAGTTGTGATTTTTGTCTTAGCCCCGCCCACTTTGGTGCAAGCCCCCTTTCCACTTCAGGGATTTGCTCAGATTCCTTTCATGACCTCCAACCACCGTTTTGAAATGTTCCACCGCGTTTTAAAATGCATTTGAACCTAGGATGAACTTCTGGTCTTAGCCAGCCCACCTTAGTGCACGCCCTGCTCACTTCGAAAATTTTACCACATACCTTCTATAGCCTTGGACCACTTTTTCCAGCGTTCTAGAAGTTTTTAAACGGAGTTGTGAATTGTGAATTTTTGATCCTAGCCCCGCCCACTCCAGGGATTCGGCCTCATTCCTTCCATTACCTTCCCGGGCGCTCTAGAACGTTTTTGAATGGAGTTAGGAACTTGATATTGTCCCCCTCCCCCTCTGATCTGATACTGCCTAAATGATTTCTGATACTGCCCCTTAGCGCTAGCCTTCACTTTGTGCATTTGACCACATCTCTTCTGTGGCCTCTAGCCACTTATTTTCCACGTTATACACTGAGTTCAATAATGGTACAGCAACATATGAGTTTCACCAAAGCTCACGTTCCAGGGCACTTCAGAAAATGTTTTCCTATGTTACAAAGTGACACACTCACTAACCAAATCAATTTGTTCAGCCGCCAAAAGATAAAAAAGAGAGGATGCCGCGTGGTTAACAATCAACACCAATCGGTGTTTGGATGCAATTCCTGACAAAAGCAACTCGGTTACAGCGATGCCTTCTGTTAGAAGGGTGCCTTCCTCCTCTTACGCTCATCGATAAACTCAGACTTATTTATCACGTTCCAAACAGTAATCCTCGTGACTTCAGCTCCGAAGAGCACCTGATTTCCGTACATGACTTAGTCGTACTCGATGCTCTTCTCAAAATCCATCGTTTGTCTCTTTCCGAAACTATCGCAGGACCTACCGTACTTTGCCATGTACGACCCCCTCCCC